AGTGCTGCTGACTTAAGTTGTCTTTAGGCCATTCCCAAATGGTGGATATGAACATGTTCTTATGCACAGTTAAAAATTGTAAATGGGATGATTTTTCAATGTCATGCTCATACTGTGCCGAAACAACATACGGGGAACTGCTGCTTTTTCTGTCCTCATCCTTACTATCGGCATATTTTCCTCTACTTTTTTGTATGTTTGTCTCTCTCTTGTGAACTGCTGTTTCAGGGGTGCCTTGATAGTCAAAGCAGAATTTGTGCTCCTGAGGCTAGAGAGGTGAGCACAGTAAGCCTGATTCCCCGTTTGGACTTTCCTCTTTATATCCCTCCCTTGGTGCTCATATGACCTGTTGCAGTTGCGAGCGCCGTAAAACCTTACTAAAACCAACTACATTGCAGAAATAGAGGTGGAAAAACACATATGTGTCACGACGTGGTGGAATCAGGCTCTCGTCAATTCTTGGGCATGTAGAGTTATTGGTGTCATCTTAAAGCTTGTTCATTTGTCTTGCTTTGATGAAAAAAATACCCATTTGTCTTTAATAGAAGTAGATATTTTGGAATAAAGGAGGTGGGGGTCACCTGGTTTCAGAGGTAAACTTAGTGAGAAAAAGGCCGCCAAAAATTAGTTATTTCCTTAGCTTGAGAGTCCTTGGAAACTGAAAAATTACGTTTTGTGTGCCTTTAATCAACTATTTTCAATAAAATCCACACAGAAATGTGTTGTTTAAAGGACATGAAAGGTGTCGAGCCAAAAAACAAAAATTCGATATTAATTCACCAACCCGCGGGAAAATGTAAGTTTCTTCACTTTGATTATTTTGACGAGCGACTGATTTCACCACGCTGCCTCACATATTAAAAAAGATCCCTCAAATTTTTCCGAGTCACACCTTTCATGTTCGGCACTGATATGACCTACAGTTGAACCTGCTCTGTCTGCCTCCTGTTTAAGACAATAATATAACCAGTACAAAACAACCACCTGTGTAAGACGATGACCTGTACAAAACGACCACCTGTGTAAGACGATGACCTGTAAAAACGACCACCTGTGTAAGACAATGACATGTATAAACGACCACCTGTGTAAGACAATGACCTGTACAAAACGACCACCTGTGTAAGACAATGACATGTATAAACAACCACCTGTGTAAGACAATGACATGTATAAACGACCACCTGTGTAAGACAATGACCTGTACAAAACGACCACCTGTGTAAGACAATGACATGTATAA